TAGTTCGATACAAATCTTTATTCATTTGCCAATAATCTCTTCCCATTTTCCACTTCAGGACCATTTTATCAGTTTTGAGACCTATAATTGAATTAAGTCTGCTTTCAGCACAGGGCGAAAGGAGTTGCACAAATATTGATGAAGTCATGACAGGGACAACCCAAGAGACAAACCACTAAAGAGGACAGGTTTTATACCATTTGTTGTAAGATTCCTCTATCAGTGCCTTGGATCTTCTTCCTATTTAAAAAAAATCATTAAAACTTTGGAATCATTTTTACAACTTTCGTATTTAAATGTCATCCATGGTAATATTTCTGTAGAACTTTACAATTTAGAATAGACCTTTATATATACTATATAGTTTACTTTCTCATGGTAACCTTATGTATAAGGCAAGGGTTGGATAATCCTCACAGCCATAGGTGCACAATCTGAGCTTCAGGAAACTTCGATGATTGTCCAAGCCCACATGACTATCTTGCAGTACTGCTTAAATTCAAATTCCCTTACTTTATCTTGCTTCTGGAACCAGTATTATGTACTGTAGAATGATATATTGTGTTACATCTATGTACTCGTGATACTTTATTTATACTGTTTTAAAGAGTTCAATTTCTTTGGTTTTGCCCAAAGTAAAAGTAAATAAAACTCCCTTTCAGAGAGAACTTGCTCAAAATTTGGCATCCCAAGGTGATAGGTGCTAAGATTTATGTATATGAAAACCTTCTGGGTATAAATGAAAACTACTTAATCTACTATCTTTTACTAAAATACAGTACCCTTCTTCTTATATGTAAATATATATATCTCCATACATAGAGAGAGTGTTGAGAACATAAATATGCTTTGTCATTAAAGTTTCCACTCCAGCCTTTTCTTGGTTTATAGATGCCTCATTATGTTTTTTGTTTTTACTTTTTTTTCTATCTTCTTTTTGAAAATCTTTCTGAATCATTTAGTTTATGTGTCCCATGTAAATAACACATTACTGGACTTTTTTTTTTCCCATTTGAGAATTAAGAATTTTAATCCTAGATGTTCACAGGTGAACTTTGCTTAGTTCTCTTTTTAGCATTGATTATTTAGATTAGAGTAATTTCTAAATTCTAGGCCAACCCTTATTTAATCTTGTAATTCTTCCTGATTTTTTCTTCCTACTATGTTACATTCTGCAAGACATTTTAAAAATACTATCATTGTGGTCGGGGATTTAGCTCAGTGGTTCTGCCGCCTGCCTCGCAAGCGGAAGGACCCAAGTTCAATCCCCGGTACCAAAAAAAATTTTAAAAATAAAATAAAATAATATCATTTTGTGGTGAATTTTCTGGGTCCTTCTATGCTGAGAATTTCTTTATTTTTTCCTCTGTATCAAAGTATGTAAATTCTGGATTCCTAATTCTATTCCTTTAGCCTCTTATTTTGGGGGTTACTACTACTTCATGTCTTTTTCATCCAGCATTAGTGTTGATAAGTCTGATATAAATTCTATTTTTCATTTTTATTTATTTAATTTTTAAGTACTTGGGATTCAACTCAGGCCCTTCACAGTTAGCTGCATTCCCACCCCTTTTTTTATTTTGAGACAGAGTCTTGCTAAGTTGCCCAGGATAGACTTGAACTCATGATCCTCCTGCTTCACCTTCCCAGAGTGCTGGGATTACAAGTATTTGCCACCATGCCAGCTGCTATTCTTCCTTTATGAAGGAGTTTCTTTTTACTTTCTAGAAACTTTTTAAGGTTTTTCTCATAATCTATAATACTCTTAAATGTCCATATAATATGATTTGCTGTGAAATTTTAGTTATCCTCTTTGCTACTCTATATACCCTTTCAATCTGAGGTTTAAATAATTTTATTTCTGGGAAATTTCTCTCCACCAAACCTTGTCTCATTATGGTCAGATGTCAAACTCTTATTAACTGGTTATATATTCTGATTCAAGCATTGTAAGTGAATACTAGAATATAGAAATGAAAAAGACGTAATGCATGCCCTCAGGGAGTTTTTATTTTAGTGGTGTCCATGGGCAAGTAAGTGGGCGTTTATAATGAAGTAAGAAATTCTGTGATAGGACATGCCCACAGTATTATGGAAACATATGGGAAGAATTCATTACCTCATTTGTACAGAAGGGAGAAGGTGTCTCAGTTGAGCTACAGTTTAAGTTGAGTCCTAAAAGATGTTTGTTTGTTAGCTAGGTGAGGATTGGAGAAGTCCGAGGAAAAGGAACAATTTAGATAGAGGGAGTAATGGTTCAGTGGTGAGTGAAACCAAATTAATAGTTTGTCATGGCTGTTGGTGTCACTTTCCATGTGATGTAACTTTGGGAAGATAACAATAGAAAAATTGGAGTGAAATAGATAGTCTGTTGTAGATTTTAAGAAAGGGTTTGACCTGAGCAAACTTAGGTTTTCCAAAGGTTTTACTTATGGAAAAATGCATCGATATGGGGCAAAGCAGGAGCCACTGGTACCCATCAAGAGGCTGTTGCAATAATTTAGGTGAGAAAAGATGAAAGCTCTTCTAGCTGTGAAGATAGAAATACAATAGTTAGATCAAAATGATAATTAAAGATGTCAGATAGCCAAGACTGTGGTTGGTTACATTTGGTAGAGAGAAAGGGAACTGTGTCAAGAATGATGCCTAGTTTCTCCCTGGCATACCATTCAAGACAGACTTTCTAATACTTTCTATATTGAAAGAAATAATTTCTAATTGAAAGAATCATTTGAAAACATAGCAAAGCAATAGGCTACTTTTTCTTTTTGTTTTAAAGAATAGTTTCTTTTCTTCTAAAATGAAATAGCTCAGAAAATTGGGAAATTTTTCCCAAAGTTTGTGACAAACTCAGTTGACAGCAATGATTACCCTGAAATGAGGCCACTTTTATTCTTATTTTTAGAATGTTAAGTGGACATTCATATGAGTCTTTTAGAATTATGAATGTGTATGATGATAGCATGCTGCTTCAGAATCTACTGGCAGCATTAAAAAATATACATATGTAAAATTTTGCTGAACTCCAAAATATTCTGATGAATAGTATTTAATCTGAAGAGTTTCAGATAATTAATTATGGACTTGTACTTTAAATGTTGAGTATTTCTGTTCTCTCTCTTTTTTTTTTTTGGTACCAGGCATCGAACTCAGGACCTTGAGCTTGCAAGGCAAGCAGTGGAACCACTGAGCTAAATCCCTAGCCCTATTTTTATTCTTTTTGTATTACAACATTATTTTTTAGTCACAGCTATTATGTGGCAATGCAACCAAGTATATGTGTATTATGTAGTACCAACTTCAAGATGGAGTGACAAATGAAGTTACAAACCTTAGTATATATTATGCTTCTGTTTGAGATTTTAAAATCACAGAAAGGGGGGAGGACATGCATAGACACACACATGTGTATAAGCAAAGAATATCAGTAACTGAACACTGGGAGTCAGTAATGAGAGAAAAACTTAGTTATGTGTATGTATACATGTGTACACATATATTATTCTGTTCAAATGTTTCACTATACATGTTATTCTTTTTTGGTTTAAAATTTGAGTTATACAAATACTGTGAAAATCTCCTTGTGAAAACTTAAAGATTCATTTGAATTCAACTGCATTAAAAACATTCATTTTATAGTATAAAATTTAAAGTGTTTATATAAGTGCTAGATTTTTTTCACAGCTTGTGGTAATTTATCCCTATCATTTGTCACTAGGACTGTGACAACATTAGGATTAGAGAATGAGTTTCAGAAACCCTTACATTTAAGGGTTAAGATTGTCACAAGCAGGAATTAAAGGAGATAATGGCTGAAGATGAGTGCCAATCAGAAGTGGAAATTTAATCCTAGTAGTCCAGACTGAGCAGTGATGGCAAAGGTTGGAAGCCTTCAGTAGAGTTCTTAAGCATCAGAGCCTAAGGGAATAAGATAGGGATATTTAGAAAGATAGTAGAGCAAAACAAAGAAATGGGGTAAGTAAATTTTCAGCAAAGAAGAACTAGGAGGTAGAAATAGAAAAGAAAGTTAGGACTCCTCAGAGAAACAGAGACCTGGAGAGAATATTAAACATTGTAAATATAATAATGTTCGTTGTTGGAGGTTTCATATTTACTTTCTGCAATGTGGTAGACATAATTTAATGTTATGTTGGAACTAAAATATTGTTAGATCAGAGTGAGAAAAGTCAAAGTCTTATTTGTCCCCAATAATTTAGTATAGATTGAAATCAGAAAAAAAATCCAAATATTTGCCACATTTCACCAAATGTGTATTTAAGTTATCTTTTCCACTTACTTATACAAATACTTGTGTTTTTAGTTCCATCAGCAGTCTCTTTTACAGTGAAAAGCAAGACATTAAATATTTAAAGTATATCATGATTTTTATTGTGTTTTCTTTGGGGATATTTTGTTTTTTAATGTTACAGCAGTCTTAAGTTCTGATTTGTAGTGAGCACTAAATTAGTAAAATTAGTGTCAGGAAATAATTTGTTAAGATTTAGTGATTTAGTTGTATACTAACAAACATATTCTTTATGTCTTATTCTTGTCATAAAAATACAATAATTGATGGATATTTGATATAAGAAATAAAGCAAAATATCAATTTTGTAATCTAGGTGGTTGATAGAATCTGTAAGTTTGAATATTTTCATAATAAATGTTGAAGATGATCATAACCTTTAATGAAGAAACTTATGTTAAATGAGAATATTACTATGTGAATAGTATAATATACTTTTTTTTTTCCATTTATTTTGAAAAATCTCAAACCTTTTTTCTCTTAGTAGAAAGTAATTTTAAAGGTCATACTATTTGATATAAATAATTTGTTCCCTTCTAGTGGAAATTGTTTTATCCTTTAAAACAGTATAATGACCATTAGTAAAGGAAGATTTAAAAATTACAAGGTTTTATAAAACGTTTTTTAAGATAAACATAAATTAAAGCAGACAAAGGTTTAGCAACTATTTAGAACTTTTATTCTTCTGTTTTAGGGAAACTGGAAACATCAAAGCTGGATTAGAACATCTGGTAAGTTCTAATTTTCTCTTGAACATTTGCATCATCTTTGATATCTGCATTCTAAATGAACACTTTTGAATGAGCTTTGAATACCTTGTATTGAGAAAGTCAACCATTTCCCAAAGGGTCAGCTTACTGTTATTATGTGAAGGCACTTACACTTTCATTTATCTTATCATTTCAAGGGAATTTAATTTTTTTTTAAATTACCTTTTTTTCTGATGTAGAGATGAAATAAAATGAATGGCAATCCTTGGGTTGATGATTGCTTTAATTGTAAGCAAAAATTGTTTGGTGTAGAATTTTTGGCATATCTTGTTCTGACAAAAACAAGCTTGTATATTAAAAAAACAATCAAATATTGCATGCATAAATATGGTGTGTTTTAGCAATTTAACAGCATTGAAAGAAGTGCACAGCTTTGTTTTTCTTGATGTCTTTGCTTTATGAATAATGCATTGGTTTAAACTACATTCAGTTTTAGAATATAAAATAATTGAAATGCAAAATTTTTGGTTTAAGTAAACATTTTTAAAGAACAAGAAAAACAAACTGATTTAGCATGAATCTGTCTAGTGATCTAAAATTTTGAAAAATGATAGTATTCTTACTGATTTGAAATTTACTATTTTGAGTATTTATTACAACATTAAGTAGTTCATTTAAACACAGCATTATAAAGTCATCTTCTGTTTTCTAGTCAAATCCAAATGTTGAATAATTAATAGGAGATATTCTTTTGTAAATACAGTGTAGGTCCTTTTTTAATGCAAGACTTCATTGATATATCATACTGTAGCTTTGTTAACTATTAATGTGCTTTTGTTCTACTTCCACAAAAACAAAACAGTAGCAAGAGGCAGCTTCATTTTGATTTGCAGAAATTTCAGAGTTGGAAGGGATTTTTAAATTTTCCTTTTAATAGCTAAAGGAAACTGAGGAATCCTAGACCTTTAAAAGTGTTCTTAAAATTTATACATTGGCTTTTTAAAATGCAGAATATAATTACCTAGTTAGAATATTTAAACTATGGATTTTTCAGGATTAGAAATAAATAAATAGCATTATTATTGTCATCATTAAGAAGTATTTCCTGAACCCATATTTATCATTTTCTAATGACACCAACATTTAAGACATAGGCACATAAGATTAAAAATGTTATTCTGAAACATCATGTTTCATTATCAACTGGAAGCTCATAACGAGGAAAAACAGCTACAAATATGTAAAATGAACTTTTGTATTTGTCTTATAAATTATTATTAAAAGACTTTGTTCATATTCCTCTGGAAATAATGAGCTTAATTTCTTTTGTTAGTGTCATATTTCTATACTTATAGTAGGGATCTCATTTTTAGTGACCACTTCACACACAGTCTTATGTAGCAAGAAAGCACCACCAAAAGAAGTAATATTCCGATTCCCACATCCTACTTAAACCAAAGTTGTTCCACTTTTAGTTATCTTGTAAACTCTTGAACTTTTAAGTAGGATTCTCTAGCTAAAAATATCTTAAAACCTTTGATAAATGTAGTCACCTATTAACATCAGTGATAAATGTATTAATTATTTCTGTTCTTAATCCTAAATTATATTTTCTTTTTATCTAGATCATGCCCATCAAATATATTTCGAAGCTAAGAATTTTAGGGATAAGAGAGCTAGAACTGACAAGCAAATGATTTTAATGTATTTTATTTAAGTTGCTCAAAAGACTGCAACTTCATATTATAATTGATGCACTGTGAACTATTAATATAGCTATCTGTCTACCTACATTCATTAGAAATACTAAAGTCAGTGATATACTTCATAACTGTGTAAGAAGGTTTATTCTTGCAAGAAGAACTCACAGTTTTAAGAGTTGAGCATTAACGATATCTATTACGTCTAACACATTTGGACTCCTGTTTTTTCCTCTCTTTCACTGAGCAGACATTTAGAGTCCTTGCCTTGTAGCATGTGTAGCCCTTGTTTAAAGTGGCCTTATAGCCAGATATAGTTAGAAGTAGTGACTGTAATTGATTGATTTTAAAGATATGATATAAAATTAAAATGAGAGCATCCCACACATTTGGAATTAATCTCTTCTTTATTTAGCCTTCTGTAGTACTTGTATTTTCCAAATTATTTGTTTGGGTTATCATAGAGAATTGTCATTGTTTGAATGCTAAAAAAAAGAGTAAAAGCCAATATAAATTTTAAAAAAATACATATGAAGCCAAGTTATACTTGCCACCAGGAAACGTATAATTGTACTGTTTTTCTATTGTATATTTATGGGCCCTTCTTAGTATACATCTCTGTATAACCCTGGAAAAGAGAAAGCAGGTGTATGGAGAAAAGTGTGGAATGGGTGGACTGTTCCCCTGGGCTGCTTCATAGGCTGATTTTCTTTACCTAATTTCTTTACAGTCTTTCAGGTCCTTATTTGGCCTTTGTTCTATCATTCCTTTCTTCTATGTTGCCAACTTTTCTGGGAATTGTCTAGCATGTCATTTTTCCCAATACCACTTTATTTTCTTTTTACAAAAGCCTATGTTTAAAGCCCATAAAGCCTATGTCTGTTTAAAGTTCTAGACAGAGCTGTGAAGGTTATTGCTTCATTATCCGTTGATAATTCTTGCCTGATGATTACAAAATGGAGATTTTCCAACTTTACTGCTGTCATATTATCAGCTAGTATTCTACTGTGAAGAAGAGCCAACTATTTTTATTTTGTGAATCTACTTATTATGATCAAGGACTCGTGGAAATTTTTTTATTAAATAATTTATTACCTATTACATACTTTCTGTATTTATTTTGATGCTCACATTGCTCAGGGAATCCTTTCAAAGATTAATGTGCCTGTTTTCCTTTACCCTCCCCTCCCTTTCTTTCTTTTGCTCCCCTCCACTTCCCTCTCCTCCTCTTCCCTCCCCTTCTCCTTTCCCTCTTCTTCTTCTTCCTTTTCATCTTCCCTTTTCCTTTCTCTTCCTTCTTATCTTTACCCTGTTCCTCCCCTTTCTTCCCCTCACCTGCCTTGCATAATTTTCACACACAACAAGATATTCCAGACTTACTCTGTCTGTCCCACTCTTATAATCAGCTATTTCTTCAACTTACCTTATTTCATTGTAGAGGGAACTGGTATTTGGAAATCAATATCAGGACCTGTGATATGCTTGTTTTGTTGTCTCTTGTATTATATTACCCCAAACAGATTCAGTCCAAGTTAGATAAGTAGATAGTAGTTTGATAGATGGATAAAAATATATCATTTTAACAAAGGGTGAGTCATATTAACACCTTTGATTTCAGTCCAAACGGCAGAGTTCTTCCTTGTCATATCTTATTTCATACTTGTATTTCTCTTTCTTCAAAGCAAGAACCTTATTGTTAACAACACCAATGCTTCTACTCATTTGTTCAGTTACATACACATAAAGTAGTTTCAAAATCCTTATAAGCATGCTTTAAAAACAATCCCTACTAGAAGGGGTTCAAGATTTATTTGCAGCACCCCACACACACACTATTGAGTGTATTTATGTTACTCATTTGAAATATGGTTACATTCGTTTTTGTTTGCATTCAGTTTAAGTGACTTTGTTGCCAATCTTGCTGATTTAATATATTTGTTTGAATATGTATGATGTTAACATGCTTCCTTATGTCAAAATTGTGCACAGTGGTATTCTTAGAAAGCTGTGTCACTATCTTTCTAGCCTGTTCTTCTCTACCACCATAGGCAGTCAATTTTTCTGACTTCTGCTTTATCTTTCCTGTGCCTTTTGAAAAAAAATCGTGTGTGCGTGTATGTACATCCCTATGTGTAATTCTCTTTCCTCTTATGAAAAGTATCATATTTTCTATATCCTTTGTTGTACTTAGCTTGTTGTTGTTTTGTTGCTTAGCAATACATCCTGGAAATCACTTTATAATCATTGTGTGTGTCATTATCTTTATTGTATCTTTTTCATATTTGACTTTGTTTTCTTAAGTAAGGATTTGAGATTTTATTTGCATGACTGCCACCCTTTTGTAGAGGGTGGCAGAACACATGCTATTGCTGGGTCAAAGATAAAGCACTTTATTACTTATTAGTACAACAGGTAGCCTGTGCTTCATGTTTGTATAGCTTTCTCTTGCCCCTCACATCCCATGGAGTGATTCTTTGTACTCAGTGGGTTTATGTGATAGCTAAGGAACTCCAAGAATAATTCTTTCAGAGATCACTATAAAACCTGGCCAAACTTTGCCCCCCAAAAAGATGTCTTTTTTTATCCTGGTCAAGTAACAAAACTGCCTACCAGTGCAAGCAGAGCTTCTGTGTTTATCCATCCTTCTGGCATCCAGAGCCTTATGCATGCTAATTGTATGTTAAGCACACCTGTAATCACTGTGCTACACTCCCAGCCCCAGGAAACCACTTTTGAGTAGACCTTGGGTCCTAGGGAATCATACTACAGGTATTTTGCAGTGTTAATAGTAATATCATTATCAGCGGAACTAAACATAAAACATCTCAAAGAATGATATGCCCGTATTATACATAAAAGAAAAAATAAGTGAGACTATTTTTAATGTTTAGATTTTATGACGAGCTTAAGGAAATGATTTTATTAGATGAAGAATCATATACAGATGAAAGACCTGACAATGACCCTAAAGTTTTGTATTTTAACACAGAAGAGTTAAAGGAGTAGAGGTAGTTATTTGTTAATGACATTGTTACTGTCCTTTTTAAAATTAATAATGTTCTAAAGTTATAGAAAATTGACTGTTACCTCTTTTTATATCAGAGGTTTTTGTCTTTTATGTGTTCTTTTCTAACATTTTAAATTTAAAATTCTGGATAATGTAATGAATAATAGACCTTATTGAACTACTGAATGCAAATCAAAATACTTTCTAGATACTGTTTAATGTACTTCAATATGATTACTGATATTAACACACATTTTGTTTTTACTATTATAAAAAATATAGGAGATAGAGTCTTGCCATTTGATTACAATATA